AAGATATATGTTTTTTCCTTTTATGTTTATCCCTCTTACCACTGTATCTTGTTTAAACTCATTGGCTAGTCCAGAGAAACAGTAAAAATAGTGCTGATAGTGGGTAAGTTTAATTTTTTTAAGCCTCAAACAAGTATTATTTTGTTTAGTTTTAGTTGGTGTCTCTTTTAGTAGTCTACTTTTTGATGACATATATATATAATACATATATTATGTATATATGTAGTATGTGTGTAGTTAGTGTGCAATTGTTGTCAGGATCTTCGAAATTCATGGAAAACACATATACAAAAACTTAAATATGTATTTCAAAATTTGCACCAACATTAAACTTATATCGTGATTGTTATATTTCATGACTTTTTGAGGACCCTATATCTTTAACGTTTTGATTGCAGTCAATAGATTAATCACAGTCTGTTTCATTTATAACTTCCTCTCTACACTTACTGATACAAGATTTAAAAAATAGTACCTTGTCAAATATTGTCAGGGACAATACCAATATTATGTTTTCTCAACTATTTACCATAAAATCTAAGTTCATTGGTGCATTTGGGAGCCTGGTTGAATGTCTAAGAATAGTTACATCCCACTCTCCCTTCTTAAGGTGAATTTCTCTTCTTCCACCTGGAAGAAGAATAAAAGTTTATTTTCTGAGCAAACATGAGGGCCTCTAGGCTAAAGAAATAGAGTTGTACTACAACAATGGGATTTAGAGAGCACTGACCAATCCCAAAAACTCGTACTCCTCCTACTTGACATCAAAAACACTATTAGCCAGTCCTGTATGCCTCAGGCCCAGAGGATCCTTCTGTGGGAAATCCACTGATGCCCAGAGCTATCCAATGAAATGTTTTTGAAGATCATGTTACACTATAGATCATAGTCAGTGAACTGTATCCATTGAGAGTTCTGATCTTCTTTTATATCAACTGTTGATCAGGAATCGCCAAATAGCTCAGGAAAGTTAGAGATTAAAAAAAAAACAAAAATCTTTGAGAATTCATACAATAGAGAGGGAGGACTTAAAAATACAGTTATGAACGTCCTCAGAGACAGGAGAACCCATGATAGAGCCTGCTTTAGTTGTGCTCCTTAGTGTTGAGCAAGGAGTTTTCAGGCAACCTGGAAGCAGAACTGCCATTCATGACCCTGTTTATAGACCATATTCCAGATACCAGGTTCTTGCAATCACTATACCATCCATCTCAATCCCATTTCCAGGTCTGCAGGCCTCTCTCTCTCCTGCCTCTGGCCTCCTAAAGGCCTCTAACACAGTTGCATGTCTACTTCTGTAGATAGGTGACAGGAGGCTTGTCTATGTAAAGTATGGATGGAGACTGGAAGTGTGGTGTAGGATATTAAGTGTGTAGTCTCTAGGATATATGTATAGAGTGCCTGGAATAATTATTACAACCATACCAGTGTATAATATTATGAAATGTCAAGGCATTGCAAACAAAAGGAAGATCTATAAGCTTTTTTGAAAGGGAAAATACCACCATTCCTGCTACCTCTGTACCCAACTCATGACTTTCCCTCAAAATAGGCAAAGTACAAAGTGTCAGAAAAAAGGAAGACTTTACATATTTCACAGGTGACATTGAAACAAGAATTGGAATGGAAACAGAGCCTTCAAATGTCTGAGGGGAAAAAAAACCTCAAAATTGTATTTTTATAAGTGAGTTATCAATTACATAATTAGATATTATAAAGAATTTACAGAGGTGTAAGATCTCAAATGTTATCACTATGAATTAGTTCTCAGGAAGCCACTGAATAATGTGCTTCACTAAACAAAGAATAAACACAATGTAGAGAACAAGTGTATTCAGAAATGAAAGAGACAACTTTATGAGAGAATAAAGAATGTAAATATTTTCAATGCATTTTTTTAGAATTAATCTTAACAGTTGGAGAGAGTTTGGAGTTGAATATAGCAATAAGTTCATAGGAAAGTAAGCGCACAACCAAAAGATAAATTTTGACTCTAGAAGAACTAATATTTGGACAAGGAAAATGAATATAAGTACATGTATGGCTTAGCTGTGACTCAATATAGTGAACACCGATTACTGACTTCATCAACTGCAATAGAAAGTTAAGGGGATTAGTGCAGGTTAGAAATATTTGCAGGGAAATGGTGTTGGTTTGATATGAGAGGTTAACTCTGTATGTTCCCTGTGGAAAACCAGTAGATAATGCTGAAATTGAGAACTTACAGTGCTGGGAACTTTAGAGTAAAAGGAATTGCCTTTAGTGGGCTCTATAAGCCTTGAATAACTGTCACTTTTGAAAAATGTGAATGAATACCTTTATAAAATTATATCAGTCACAGATATCCCTCTTTTGCCACTAGAGAAGCCAAGAGAATAATTAATTCTATATGGTTTCTTAAAAGTAGATTTGAATTAGTGGAGAAAAGTGGTGGAAAAAGTTTCAACTTAGTATTCCTAGTTTTGGCTAGAGCAATTGGGTGATTGAGATGACCATAGAATAAGTTTATTTTGAACTACTTTTGAGATGTAAAAGGTAGGTAACTAAACTTTGGACAAGTGAATCTGGAGCTCAAAAGAGAAGTTGAGGCTGAGTTTGGAAGTCATTAGATTCTAGTAAAGGATTTTCAAAGTTGTGGAGAAGTAGAAGAGTACCTGAAATGCATGAAAAGTTGAAAGAGCACTCATTTTAAGATCAAAGATTTGGGGCCAGCGCTGTGGCGTAGTAGGTTATACCTCAGCTTGTGGCACCAGTCGCATAAGAGCACTACTTTGTGTTCTGGCTGCTCCACTTCTGATCCAGTGCCCTGCTAATGTACCTGGGAAAGCAGTGGAAGATGACTCAAAGATGGCCGAAGTGCTTGGGCTTCTGCATATGAAGGGATGGGTGGGTGGGGAGGAGTGGAAGAAGCATCTGGCTCCTGGCTTCTGCCCAGCTCCTTCCATTTGGTCCATTTGGGGGGTGAACCTGCAGATGGAAGACCCCCCCCCCATAAGTCTGCTTCTCAAATAAATAAATAAATCTTTAGAAAGAAAGGTCAAAGATTCTTGGGTATGAACAATAAGTCAATTGAATTGACAGAGAATAATTGAACATTCAGTAGGAAGAAGTAATAATTATTTCAGGACCTCTGGTTAAGCCTCCAGGAATGCTAACAGTGGGAGAGTTGCAGGGAGTCACAATGATTGACTGATTCTTTGATTTGCAAATCCCTATCATTACAACCATTTAGTCAGTGTTTATTGGGTGCTTTGTGTCTTCTCTCCAACTTTCCCTCTGACCTTTCATTTCCTCTTATTTGTTAAGTAACTGGTGAAAGGCACTTTTAGTTAATCACTTTGCAACCTTGGATGGCACTGGTATCTGGTCTGACTTGAATCTCCTAGGGTACATGCTGTCAATAGTGGTAAATAGAAGCAATAATGTTACTCATAAAACCAATATATAAAATCTAGATGCGAGGTCCTGTGCTGAGCCTATTGGCTAATATAGCCCTCATGACAATACTAGAATGTTAAAATTATTATTCCCATCTCACAGATAAGGAAACTGAAGCTTCAATTTTCTCAAGGTCTGTCAAAACTAGTGATGATGGCCAGGTCACACTGCCCCTAAATTGGCACTTTGAAATCTGAGAAGACAGCAGAAGCAGGAAGGTCTCTCTGACTTTCTCGAGTCATTCTCCCCTGAAGCAGACCACATAAGCTGGGAAGGTCATATCTGGCCTTTTACTCTCCTTTTCTCCTGAACCACACTATGTGACAAGTGTCCTACCTTATATCCGAGAGAAGAAATTACCCACAGCGAGTCCAAGAAGAATCTGAAAAACAGGTTTTGCTATGATTTGTCCAGTGTATTACCATTGGATCATCTTGCTAATGCAACTAGGTAGTGTAAGAGGGGCAGAAGAAAATGAGAACTTTCAAAGAAAATAAATTATGTGCAATGGAATGAAGAAAACAAGTCTTGAAAGGAGGACCTATCCGTTTGTCTGTCTCTCTAGCCCAGAGTGCCCTGGCTTGTCTTTATCAATTGGACTTCACTGAATTGAGGGAGCAAACAACTGGACCAACCGGGTCATAATCACTGGACTGAAGGAGTCATTTGTTTCTCCAATCAATAAGAACCCTGAAGGCCAGGATTGTCCAGAGGACTTTGATTCAGGAAATTCCACACTGAAAAATCCCCCATCCAGATTTTCCCAAAGAGGGAGGAGGGGAGAAGAAGTGGGGGACCCATACTCATGGGTAAAAACCCCAGTCTGAATGCTGTCCTTTACTGAGATGCTTGCCTGGCCTGTAAGGTGTAGCTATTTCTGCCTCTTCACGTTTTCCCATGCTAAAGTAAAAAAAAACCATCTGATTCTGATCCAAATCATGCCATGATAGTCATTGGTCCTCTCTTAACTCTCTCTTCACAGTTAAGATTTTTAAGAAAAGCTATGGCACCCAGCATTTTCCACAGAACTAATACTAAATCTGTATCCACTGAACATCAAGTGGCTAGGCTGCTGCTTTGTCTTTTCTCTTACGGCTTTTCATCTTCATAGGCATAATCTGAACAGATCCCTGCTGTGAACAATTTGTAAAATCATGAATTTAAAAAAAATTCCAGAGTCCGAGTGTATGTTGATATTTTCAGTTCAGTCTGTCCTGACTGAACTAAAGCTACCTCAAAGGGATAGCTTTGTCTCCACAGAAGATTGGCACTGGAGTCATTTCGATTGATCCATGTGTCTTGCCCCTGTAGAAGCCAGAGTTGTTTTCAGAATAGGTGGTGGCTCACTAAATGCGAAGGCAGGATTGACGATGAGATCCTCTAGATAAAAATGCTTTCCTCTTATGATCATAAATGAAACCCTGATCAATGGGGATTCATCTTTCATAGAGATTTTCATGAAGATATGATTTAACTGTTTGCAGATTTCTTTCTAGAAGATTTTGACAAGGATGATGTTGAAGAATATGTGATGATATTATTTGGGCTGAAAAATTTTTCTTTTTAATTAATTTCAGGACCTTTTTTTTTTTTCAGGGTGACCGTGGAATTCCTGGTTTCCCTGGGCTTCATGGAATGCCAGGATCAAAGGTTGAAACTGATTTCTTTTAAATTCAGTTGTGTTGTATATATTTTTTTTACATTTCAAAATGTCAGTGTAACATAAGAGAAGATAGTAAATGAGAATCAGAATTACAAAATGAAGAAAATTCTTTAGTTGGACTGGCCAAGAAGTAAAGTAAGAAGGTACATATTTCCAAATCAGTAACTGGAGACAGATCATCATTACTTTTCCTATAAAAATTCCTATAAAACTAGTACAAGCAGACTGTTAACTCTGTACCAACAAATCAGACAACTTGATTGAAATGGACAGTTAGAAAAACAGAAATACAAAAATGACTCAAGGTGAAATTTAAAAAATCTGAAAGACATGGGAAGAATTTGCATTAGTAATTAACAGATCTTCTCATAAATATGTATGTATTTCAAAAAGTTTGAAGAAAATAGAATTAAAAGATCAGTTTATTTTGCCACAAAATAATTGAAACCTGTACCTATTTTTTCATAGTGTTATTTTCCATGAACTATTGTGTAAGTCCATGCCCAGATGTCTTCACTGGAGAATTCAATAACATATTCAGAGATGAAATAATAGTATTCCTTTAAAAACATGTGCAGAAAATCTGGAAGCTGAAAAAAAGGAAAATGGAAGAAAAGTAACTCAAATGATTCTATGGGGCCAGTATTTGTCTACTATACGGGAGCCAATGACAAGCACAAGAAAACTATATACTAATATTCCTCATGAACATAGATATATCCTATATTTTGATTCAAAGTGAAAGTACTTTTTTAGGACAAATGTGTTATACATAACTGTTCATTTATAAATAATGGTATGTTAATGATTTAAGTTAATTTTAATATCATAATTTGCATAGATCTTGGAAAATTTACATTTAAAGTTTCCAGTTATAAATGTGCAATCTTATGCTATTTAAAAATTGATGAGTAAGTTTTACTGCCTAACTTTAAGCCTTATGATAGTACTAATTATCCTTGTTTTCATTCTTTATTTACAAAGTCTAGAGAATAGGACTTTTTCAATGAACTTTATTTCAATTTTACTTTCGCATTGGCATATTAAACTTTAAACAAACATTATCTGGTGTATGTTTTTTTTTCTTCATAATAGTTCATAAAGAGTTCTCTAATGTTAATATTTATGTTTTATTTTTTAGGGTGAAATGGGTCCCAAAGGAGATAAAGGATCACCGGGATTTTATGGCAAAAAGGGAAGTGTGGATCACACCAGCAAATATTCACATTGAACTTGTAATGTGGTGAACATAGAAAACTTGAATTGCAGTCTTTGCCCAGTGTTAGAACAATTAATTTTTTTATCCTTCTCAGGGGGCTTATTCAGAGTCATTTAAAAAACCGAAAAATAACTGGTGACTGCAATGCATGGTATTCTACAAGACTGTATGATATTATTGATCATTTTGAACTTTTAAAATATTTATAGTGACAGATTTTTTAGGAAGAAGTAACTGTTTAAAAACCTGTCCACTGAGAATCCATTATTATGGGCCTTCCTATTTTCTCAGACTGAGATTATGTTCTCTGTGTATTTTACATACTCCTGACTTTCATTTTCTCCAAGATGTTGTTTCTGTGTTAAGATGCATATAATAATACTTCAGCATTTATCAACATTTTCAATCTATTATATTGTACCTGCTGCACTAGCAAGATAATAATTGGCTGAGTTGCAGGGCCAATAGGAGTTGTTCCCTGAACTCTTACTACATGTGAAGGTGATTCAAAAAAGTTGATAAAACAGTGGAAGTGAAAGATAACTTCATTTTGGTGCAAAAGTTTTTTGAGATGTGTGTGCATATTTTTAAATCATGTGTATTTTCCATGAGCATTTTGAAGGACCTTACAATGAGGTTATTGTATTGGCTTTCCTGTATAAATTTGAGTAGGATTGTGAAAACATCATCACAAGATTTATTTAAATGTTTGTTTTTGCTACAGGGTGCAAAAGGTGAAAGGGGGAATTTGGGCTTTCCTGGCCTTCCTGGACCTGCTGTAAGTTTGATAGAAAAATCTTCTTGAATACATTATTTTAAATAAAAAGTACCTTTTTAAAGAAGAAAAATTAGTGCAAAATGTATTAAAAACACATTTCTTTTCAGGGAGAACCAGGAAGACACGGAAAAGATGGATTAATGGGTAGCCCTGGTTTCAAGGTATTGATTAAAATAAAACAAAAATATTTTTGTACCTAGTGAGTGAGCATGATAAGAACATATCAATATTCTAATGTTTGAATTACATATGACATTAGAATAAAGTTGCAACACTAAATTTTTTATTCTAAACTTAAAGTGATAATAAATTTCCTTTGTTTTTTTTGTGAACTCTTATGTGTTAGAAATATAATCACAGCATATTAAAAGATTGAGTTTTTTGGTATAATCCATCTCAGCTAAAGAAGCCACTTGATAAAGCATTGAATTGAATAATGTCATATTTCCTAATGATCAGGACTTTAGACCCCAAACTTCCTCAAAAATCTAGTCCAAATTGTTCTTGTCTATAGTTGTATTTGTTTTCTTTAAAAATATTGTCCATTCATTTTCTTTGAGTGTATGAAAGTACTCCAAATACTCATGATTCATCAAAGATTATTGGGAGTGCTTTCCAAGATAATATTAAATTGAATTTAAATTGTTATAGCCCATTGTAAAGAACTTGGTCAGCTTCCTGTTAGTTTCACTGGGCTTAGATTTTATATCCTACTTATTACATAAGCATATTTTATTGATATTTAAATTAGGCATTCGACATAAAATGGAAAATAAAACCATGATGATCCCTCTTATGGATTTTATAATCTAATCCATCCACTGTGAGAGAACACAGATCCTTGTATACCTATGAAATAGGCATTTTAATTTAATTTTTCTGTGTCTTCAGTTAGCATAAGTCCATTAATTACACAAAATGTTTTTTTTTTTTAATGTAGTGTAGAGACTAGAGAATGGGAGTGAATTGCATTTTCAGATTGTAATGACTTTAATGAATTGTATGTTGTTTGGCAAATTCTTTGACTCCCAGTTTCCTCCATTTTAAGAATGGAGAAAATGTTATCTACCTTAAGTGATATGGTAGGGATTAATATAAAAAGAAAATCAGCACAGTGCCTGACAGAATAAAAGTTCATGAATGAATTAGTGTCTTTGTGCTTTTCTTAATTTGACCATAGCTTTCAGATCCCCTTTGAATCTGATTGGGGAGCATGGGTACATGCACACAACCTACAAATATAAATCAGGTCACTCAGCAGTTTCATTGATACATAGTTGATACAGCACAAAATTCACTCATTTAATGTGCACGATTTAATGCTTTCTAATATATTTACTGAGTTATACAGTCATCACTATGGTTTAACTTTGGAACATTTTCATCATATCAAAAGAAACTATATACCATTAGCAATCACTAGGTTAGAGACCTAGTCTCTTGATAATGCACATCCTGGGAGGCAGCAGGTGATGCACCAAGTTCTTGTCCCTGACACCTGTGTGGGAGCTTGGATCAAATTCCAAGCTCCTGGCTTTGCCCTGGTCCAGCCCAGGCTGTTGTGGGCAATTGTTGAATCAGTGTATGAAGGATCTTTCTCTGTCTTTCAAATAAATAAAAAAAAAGAAAAAAAATTTAAGAAATAAGTCTTGAAATCAGATAACATAAATACCTCAAATTTGTTTTTTAAATTATAATGGATGTCACAGAATCATATAAATTCTATATAAGTTTCAGTGTAAGCTTGAAAATTTTATGAGGAAAGAGCTTCTCAGATTTGTTAAATAAGCTTTTTAGTCTGTAATAATATATTTACAGAAAATATGCAAATATACTACAGAGAGTTCCCTTATGCCTTTTACCCCTTTGATATTACTTATGCCTTTTAACCCTTTGATATTACTGTTTGTTAAAAAACTTAGAAAGAAATACTGGACCATTACTGTAAACTGAATTCCATACTTTATTACTTTATTGCATTTCATTAGTTTTTCCATTGATGTCCTTTTTCTGTTCAAGGATTCAATTCAGGATCCTGTCTTTTTGGTTGTTTTGTTTTGTTTTTTTTTTTTTTTTTTTTTTTTTTTTTTTTTTTTGGTACTCCTCTCTGGTCTCCTCCAGTCTATGCCAGTCTATGATAATTTATTAATCATTTTTATATGACTTTAAAATCTTTGAAGAGTATTGATCAGGTATTTTTTGGAATAGTACTGCATGAATTCGTATATTTTGTTTTATGATTTAACTGGGATTATAGTTGGTTTTGGAGAAGAATAACACAGGTGGTGTCATCTCATTTTAACAGAACATACATGCTATCCACATGACTATTCATTTGTGATATTAACCTCTAATGGTATTTAGTTTAAACACATGCCAAGGCCAAAAACAACCAGGGAGAAGAGAGAAGCACCTTGGGCCTCAGAAAGCTTCTTCCAGGAGTATGGTTGGGAATAAACACGCCTCTCCTTTGTATGTTGTTTCTTGGAAGAATTTTAAAAATGAATCCTACACACCTAAGGGACATGTTTTGATAAAGTAGTAAAAAATTCAGAAAAGCTTTACAAAGATGACATTGCTAAGATGCTCTATCTTGCTCTGTAATCTCGTTTAAAAAACATGGTGTTTTTGTAAATTGTGGTCCCAACAGGAGGACAACTCATGAACTTCGCGTCAAAAGACAATTCTTTATACAACAGTGCTAAAAATGGGACTTCTTTTCACATTCTTATAAATATGAAGCTCACCTGTTGCTTATAATTTTTTTAATTTTGTATTTTCCAAGTGTGCATATTTTACACTTTTTGGGGATATGCTTAGTAATGCTATGTGTGATTTTTCTGGAGGTTGATAACTTTGCTTGCAGTAGATTTTCTTTAAAAGAATTGGCATTTACATGCATACTTCAAAAGTATTTTCCTATAAAAAAAGTTATATAGGTTTTGTTTGCTATCTTAATTTTGGTTGTATTCTTTGATGTTAACACATTTTGTATAATTATATTGTATAGCTGTATTGAATCATGTAGTATCAAATATTAGATGTGATTTAATAGTGTTAATCAATTTAAACCCATTTTAGTCACTTTTTTTTCCCAAAAATACTGCCAGATGCTGATGTTCAGTGTAATTCTTTGCCTGTTCAGTTACAGAAAGTGGTGCTCAGTTGTAGAGTGCATTGTCCCTTTTAACACCTGGTGTGTACATCCATGTAACAGAAAGGGCAACAATAAAATAGCAGTCCTAAAGAAGGAACATGGCAGAAAAGGTCTGTAAGCACAGTCTTATTTTCTTTTGTTGTCCAGGATACTTAAAACTCTTGAGCCTACCAGAAATTGGAAGCTAAATAAAGAAACTCAAGTTTCCTTTAAAAAAATAATAATATTTGTCAGGTTACTCCACTATGAATTTATTAATTTTTTCTCTCCATATTCTATTCTTTGGAACATAATTGCCAAGTCTAACCCCTACACGAGGTACAAGTTGAGATTAATTTCCAACTTTTAGAGGGATAAATATCTTTATGTCTTGAAATATATTTAGGGAGAATTGCCATCTTAACAATATTGAATCTTCCAGTATATTGTATATGGTGTATTGTTTCACTTCAGTGCTCCAAAGAGTACATGGAAAATGGAACTAAAAGATAGTATGCATTTTTTTCTTTCTTTTTTAAAGATTTCTTTTTAAGAGATTTATTTATTTATTTGAGAGGTAGAGTTACAGAGAGAGGGAGACACAGAGAGTAAGGTCTTCCATTCACTGGTTCACTTCTCAAATGGCTGCAGCGGCTGGATCGAGGCTGTTCCAAAGCCAGGAGCCAGGAGCGTCTTCTGAGTCTCCCCGTGGGTGTAGGGGACCAAGCACTCTAGCCATCTTCTGCTAGTTTCCCAGGCCATAACAGAGAGCTGGATTAGAAGTGTAGCAGGAGGCTTAACCTACTACACCACAGCGCCAGCCCCAATAGTGTGCCTTTTCCATTAATCTCTTGAAGACCCATAGATTTTCTTTACTTTCTCTCAGCAAATGTGTAAATGTATCAATGTATAGACCTTTTCAATGTATAGACTTAAATGTTTCAATGTACATTTTTGCTAAACTCACAACTAAGTATTTTATTCTATTTTCTTATGAATAGATTTTCAAAGCTTATTTTTGTTTTGTTGCTGGTATATGGAAACATTAGTTTTGATGTATTGATTACATATACTGCATTCTAGCTAGCCTTATTCATTTTTTTTAATCTTTCTTTGTGAATTCTGTAGTTTTTCTGCATGGTTGATCATATTGTCTGCAAATAAGGACAATTTCTTCTTTTATACTAAATTAGGAAAATTTTGTTTTTTAGTAGCTTTAATATTCTGACCAGATTGTCCTATCCAATATTAAATGAAAGTGGTAAGAGCATACATTCTTTTCCCTTTTTTTAAAGGTTTATTTATTTATTTTCAAGGCACAGTTAGAAAGAGGGAGACAAAGAGAGCTATCTTCCATCCGTTGGTTCACTCTCCAAAGGGCCACAATGGCTAGGGTTGGACCAAGTGAAAGACAGGAGTCAGAAGCTTCATCTGAGTCTCCTGTGTGGGCATTCAGGTCCCAAACACTTGGGGCATCTTCTGTGGCTTTCCCAGCCACATTAGCATGGAGTTGGATCAGAGCCTGCTTAAGCTGCTGTGCCATAACACAGGCCCCCAATCTTGTCTGTTTCTAACCCTTAGGTAGAAATATTTCATTTCTTTACCATTGAGTATTAGTTGTTGGTTTTATATAGGAATCCTTCATCAGGTTTAGGATATACATTTTTATTCCTGGTCTCTTGAGAGGTTTCTTTAAAATAATATAGGAAGTTTAAGTCAGCTTAAAATACAGTTTTGAATGTATCAATAATTGAGCCCCAATATTGAGCTCATACAACTTATACAATAACTTATTTCTGTACATAAAACTTAGAAAAGAATTATAAAATACAAACATTTTGTTAATTTTGCTGTATTTCACCATGAAATTGAAGTTTAAAAATTATCCATGATCGAACACATGTTGCTTGATCTCTCAATGATTACATAAAGTATTGGCCTGCAAAATAAAGATATGTAATTTTTAAAAAAGATTTATTTATTTATTTATTTCAAAGTCACATTTACAGAGAGAGGGAAAGAAAC